GAAAGCTTCTTTTTTTTAAAATTGTACAACTAAAAAAGAAAATTGTACATTATTATTTTTGATGAGTTTGAAATAACAAATCTAAACTAACTCATTTAGAATAAAGTGATTATTTGTGCAAAACAAATTATTATTTTTGATGAGTTTGAAATAACAAATCTAAACTAACTCATTTAGAATAAAGTGATTATTTGTGCAAAACAAAAAAACCTTGATCTTATTTATAATAATTTATCTAATATATCATCATATTATGGAAAATTAATGTAAATATCTAACTTTTAAAGTAAATATCCAAAATTTAATCATTTTATAAAATAGCTTATGATTCTATGTAGGGATAATGTCATAATAAGCCTCAAGTTTTGTTGAAAATGTCGATTTTACCAATTGATAAGATTTTGGTTCGTTTATACCGCATACTTTCATTTTTTTTTTTTTTTTTTTTTTGCCCTTTATACAGGTTAAGTCGGTCTACCTGTATAGGTGGCAAGCAGAATGTGCGCTGACTAGCCTGGATTTGCTGGCGTGTCGATGCTAATTGTTCCTTCGGTGCCTTTATCATTAAAAACTCGAAAATAGAGAAAATGAAGAGAGCATGAATCAAACACGCCTCCTCCAAGTAACAAAGCCACAAGCTTACCCGTAAGCTGAAAGGCTTCTTATGTTTACTATCGGATCAAATAATATATATGATATATACTACTGAAACAATTCAAATACAATTTTGATTTTGATTATTATTATTATTATTATTTCATATTTTCAATATAATTATGCATTTTCTATTATATATATATATATATATATATATATATATATATATATATATATATATATATATTGGTTTTTTTCATTATAAATGCATTTTTTTTCTATTATTAATATAATTATCTTTTTTTTCTTCATACTTTCAATATATATAGTTAAATACATACATTTTGTACTTTCAAAATATATATATATATATATATATATATATATATATATATACCTTATATCAATATAAGTGTCTTTTTTCATATTTTCAATATAAATACTTAGATTTCGTATATAGTATATAAATATCTATTTTTTGTATTATTCATTTACTAAACACGTATTTAAATTATTCGGTTGATACTACATTCAATAATAACACATAATTATAGTGATGATAAAAAAAAATACATAATAATATTGGAAATGCGAAGTAGTAATAATAATAATAATAATAATAATAATAATCAAAAGCAAAAAAATGTATCCAAATCATTTAAGTGATATATATATATATATATATATATATATATATATATATATATATATGCTATTATATTCTAACTATCTATTGTGTGGATGTATGATTAATTGTGAACCAATCATATTAGTTATTTTAAGAAAATGATTAATAAATATTATTGAATTAAAAATAATTGAAAAATATCATCTAATTTCATTGAAAGAGTATTTTAGCCCAGTAACATCAATTTAAAAAAGGCAAATTACATATTTTAGAGAATAATTAATTCTATTAACTTTAAAAAAATTGATTTTTCTTAATAATAATAATATTAATTCGGGCATTCTAACAGAATATGTTCATGATTATCTTAAAAAATATTCTATTCTGACATAATGTTGTAAACAAATATTATCAAAATTAATAATTTTTAATGAATACTTATTTTATATGAAATGGATTTTAATAATTTTGAATCAGTAATTACATTTATTCTTAAAAAATACAACTATGAATATATATATTACATTCACGTTACCTAGCCATTGGGCCCTAAGGGCCCAATTCATGGGCGAAGCTTTATTAGGGCCAAGGGGGTTGTCCCCCCCCCCCCCCCCCACCCTTGATTTTTTTTGTTACAAATAGCCCCCTGTACTTTCATTTAATACATATTCGACCAAAAAATATAAAATTTTGACGATGACCCCCCTGTTCTCTGATTTTTATACATATTATATTCCCCCCCCCCCCCCCCACCCAAAAAAAATAATATGTTGAAGCTCCGCCCCTGGCCCAATTCAATGTATATTGAGCCCAATGTTTTCCATGACATGTTTATTGGGTCTTGGTACCCGCTTACATGTTAATTTGGGCCTAAGTTACGGATTACATGTTTATTGGGCTTGTGTGGCCCATTTACATGCCTATTGGGCGTAAATTACCCTCTTACACGTTATTTGGCCTTTGTAGTCTAATTAGATGCTAAATGGGCTTGGAATCGAATTCAAATGCTAGTGTATCATAAATATACCGTTGCATAATCATTGAACTTAGTATACTTGTGTATGTACTTTCGAATACCACAACATATCACATATTCGAAAACATTAAACATAGTACAAAAGGGGTTGAGAATCTAGTAAGATATGTCAGTTGCCACCTCTGAGTGTACAATCGTAACATGTAGTTATAATCAGAGTTTACTAGTAGGAAAGCGGGAGTTTTTGTATAGATCTATACGGGGTGACCCCCCACGCCTTAATTGTTCGCTACAGCTAGACTAGGCCAGTCTAGGGCGACAAAATCCTTAGCAAGACCGACATTTGGAAAAATACCAAGACGGGCGACCTAGTCATTATCATACATGGTTATAACGGCTCATATAGGGATTCAATACCAAAAATTTAACCTTTCGAAGATAACTCTTCGATTGTGTCGATGCAAAAACGACTTATTTAACGATACAAGAATCTAGACGTGGTTATAAAACAGAAAATATCGGATTTTTTGGGAAGAATATTCATATACATTTATCATCTATTCACAATACAATGAACCTAAACTATACTCGTACAGGTTATAACTATGAAATTCACACATGCATTTATACTTGATTTCACTTCATTTTCAGACATTTTATAGAAAATATCGGATTTTTTGGGTTTTTATGAACGATACAAAGACTTTTACTCAAACGTACTTATAAACTCACCAACATTATATATGTTGACCGTTTTCAAAATAACTTGTATTCTCATGTAATCGTTAAGCAGGAAGGATTTGCGAGTACGTATGGTTTACTTTTGTGTAACAACATTTATCGTATTTTTAACAAATTGAACTTATGTATTTTAACAATATACTTGATGTGAAGAATACTGGTTGTATTTTGTAATGTTGATGATGAATGTGTTATGTTTCATGTATATTCATTGTGATGATTATTCAATTGTTAGTCACATGAGCCACGAACGTTTCCGCCATCTGGTTCGGGAGTGTGACAATGACCCAAATCGATACAATATATATATATATATATATATATATATATATATATATATATATATATTCAATCAATAATGTAATTAAGAACACTAAAAGTTAAACCAAGCAAAAAGTAATTTCTAATAATAAAAAATGAATAGTCAACTAAATTTGAAATAATGCACAAGAAGGCGTCCTCCCACTTTTGATTTCTTAGGGCATGGTTCCACTTTGAGGAAAATGGCAACCAACAATATTTGAGGGGATGTAAATGACGAACAATCGACCATTGAAGGAGATATGGTTGTACACTATCACTTGAGCAGGTGAATGCAAACAGGAGGTATGTAGGAGGATGGCATAACATAGTCGAAAAACGGATCGTCGCCTGAAATCAATATAGAAAAACGAGAAGAAGGAACGATGCAGACGAGATGGTGGTTGAATTCGATGGTGGTCGGCGGCTGATGAGTTGAATATCTTTTCTATGCAGATGTACCTATGGGTGATTTGTAGGGTTTTAAACTAAATTCTATAATTTAAAAGGGATATCAAATGTTTCGAATATTTACTAAAATTAAAAATAGTAAGATTACTATTATACCCTATAAACAATTTATTAATTATTTTATATATTGTAAATTTTGTTTGTTCCATAATTAATCTTACATCCGCACAATAGATAGTTAGAATACATGAATCTCTCTTTCTCTCTCTCTCTCTCTCTCTCTCCCTCTGTGTGTGTGTGTGTGTGTGTGTGTATATATATATATATATAATGATTATTTCAAATATCTCACACAAACGATATTTCATCATCCTAGACAATTTGCAAATCGTCTTAAATGGTTTTGTCGGTGGTTGGATGATATTTGTATTAAAGAAATTGTTCTAGACTATTATGTTAGTCTTCTCGCATGTTTTTAAACATTAACGATTTGGAATTATCATATAAGATTTAACATCGTTCTAGACAGCTTTTATGTAAACTAGACAAGGATTATTGGTAACTGCGGTTAGTTTTACATCAGTATTGAAGGTTCTAGACATATGGGAATCAATAAAGAGTATTGTTCTATCATACATTCACCACATTAAATCATTTGTTTATAAATCATAATCTACTAATATAACATGTCTATAAAGAACTCAACTTTGATCAAGCTACATTGAAGAGATGTAAGAATTTATTCAAGAGTACTTCTGGTGAGGTTATTGTGATATTAGATTAACTTGGTGTGATCGTTACTTTGATTCCACGCAAGATTGTGAGTATTTTAGTCTTAATATTTTATATAATATGGGTAATATTAGCATACTTCTTTGTGCTTGCTTAAAATTTGTTACTTTATTTTTAAGACAATGTATTACCAAACCATTATTCATTGGGCAAATGTCATATTAGTCCATCAAACTTTTCGCGTTTGTTTTAAAAGGTCACTAAACTATTTTTTTTGCACATTAAAGTAATAAACTCTCATTTCCATCTTTTAAAATACCCTTTTGTTACCTGCAACCGGATTCAAAGGTAATATAAATGTCAGGTCGGATTTGACTGCCATGTCAATATCCACCTGGTTTATTATTATTATTTTGTTCTTGAAACTTTCTTTGGTCATGTTCATTTTGAAACCAAGTACTATTCATATTGCTTGTAGAACATTCAAACACCATCACCTTAAACCACCGTCTGCCTCTAATGGCGGTTTTCACACACTGAATGGATTTAATCACACCCCCAAATCCCACATATAAGAGCCAGAGATAGAGAGTCAACCGACATTTGCTTTCAATCATGGTTCCGGATCTCACCTCTAACCCATTTCATCTTGCCACTACACCTCACACCAGTCTCGCTTCACTCAAAAACACTAGAAGATTAATCGTAAGTGCAAAGAAATCCGATGTATCTTCTGCCAGAAAAGGTGAAATCGAGAATCGATTTCAGTTCAATTTCGACTTCGGGAAGGTTTCTGAAACCGGCCTCTTGCCCCATTGCTAGCTCAACTCCCGATTCGGCCTTGCCTGAAGATAGACCCATCGAACTCCCCTTCTCTATACCTTCATTTATCTCCACCAATGATGAACCTACCACTCTCCAAGTCGCTACCAACGTTCTCCTCACCGGCGCGTCTCCATCTTCCTCTTTCACTCCCTCCGTCGTCGTGCAAAGCGCGCCAAAGAATTGGTTCACGCTCTCTCTCACTCATCTCTCTCTCTCTCTCTCTCTTTCTCTCTCTCTCTCTCTCTCTCTCTTTCTTTCGCTATCACAGGGGTTTGATTTGTATAAACCGTATTTATGATTCGCAACTGAACCTATTGCAGTTATATGCGAGTATTAGCAATGATTGAGTTGAGAATTTTGTCTATGGACTAGAAAGTTAGGTTTAAGAGAAAAAAAACTAAAAAGACGTTGAAGGAAGAGGCACTTAAGAGTTTGAAAGCAATGACGCCAGTTGAGGCAAATGCTCCTTTGTCACCTCTTCAGGCATTGCTGGGAGGTTTTTCTGCTGAAATTATTGCAATTATTATGTATAAATTCACCACCACCATTGAAGCTTCTATGAATCGTCAAACCATTTATGATAAAATCATCCCCAATTCTTAATTGTTAATTCCAAATTCAAATGAGAGTCAAACCCAAATGTGTGTGATTAGAGGAAAGAACGAAGAATGCAATTAGATGCGTAGAGAGGAAAGGAAAAGAATGAAATAATGACTTTAAGGTGACATAGATCGGAGTAAAATGGCAAGTCAAACTTCGCAACCTATAAAATCAGGTAAAATGGTGTAATTAACAGGTTACCAACAAGTTTTGTGACCTATTGCGCAGAAAAATAACTTTGGTGACTAAATCGGACAAACGTGAAAAATTTGTTGGGTTAATATGACATTTACCAAGATGTGGTAGTATCTGGTTACATTATGGTAACACAAATAATTGTATCAACACATCAAAGACACAATTTTTTTTATTTTGTAGACTTAGAGATTAACACAAATAATTGTATTCACACATAAGGTGCTTAAGATCGAATAGTTGTACGTTAATAACTATAATCATGTTCATACGTCTATGTCGAAATCTAAAGAAAGAAATATTTTTGTAAATCTAATTTTTTTGATAAGTTTGAAATGGTCTTGTCTTCGCATTTATTCGTACAAACACGTTTAGTGTTTTTGCATTTCCTAGTCATCATTGTTTTTATATGAACAAATTACACGGATGGTCCTTTAACTTTATAGTTTTTCCCTGATATAATCCCTACAAAACTTTTTTCCCTGAAATGGTCCTCAGGGAGCAAAACTTGCACGGAAAAGGCTCTTATCCCCAACTATGTTAACAGATTCTGTTAAGTAATTGTAAATGACGAATATTCCCTTTGCTTTTTGTACATAAATGATCCTTTTCTCTCTCTCTCTCTCTCTCTCTCTCTCTCTCTCTTCATTTTTAGATCAGACATCAATTGTAGATCCACCAGAGATCCAACAACACAAACGATGGAGAAATGCTCCTCGTTTATTGTCTGGTCGGAGACGCAGAAAAAGAAACAAAAATGGAAAGCGATGATCGGGAAGCTCTGTTGGTCAAGCAGATCGCGAGGATGAGCAACCGACCTCCGACGACCCTTTGTGGTTCTTTTCTTGTCGTCGGCGACCACCAATCAAGGGGAAAAGGAAGCAGTTTGATCGACGGTGGTTCTGGCGAGGGGTTGCTCTGACAGCTCCCTCATAGGTTCTTCTTTCTTTGTCAGACAATAGAATGCAAGGAGAAGGGGAGGCATGGATCGAGCAAAACATAAACATAGGGTGTTTGGGGTGATGCTACTCAACTGGAGAAGAAGGTGGAGGGGGTGAGATCGGAGGCAACATCCTCCTTTCTTCTGGTTAATTTTTCTAGCGATCAAGCCTTTTGGCAGGGCTGCAAAGATCTAAGGGGACAATAACAGCCATAGGGAGTGTTTGTGGAGTTGGATTGCGACAGAAAGAGGAAGGAAGGGGCAGTTCTAATGGCTGGCACTGGTGGCTGGCAGCCTCTTCCTTGGTGGGTGGTGAATAAAAATGAGAAGGGAAGAGAGGTGATGGTAGAGAGAAGAAGTGATATAACGAGGAGAGAGAGAGAGAGAGAGAAGGCCCTATTTTTTATTTCAATTTCACAGCATATTAAAATAAATATAAAAAAACAAAAACAAATGGTATTTTCATCTTTTCACATATACTTAAGAGAATCTTTTAACAAAGTTAGTCATAAGCATCTTTTGTGTGCAAAGTTTACTCTGTATGGACCATTTCAGGGAAAAATGTTTTGTATGGATCATATCAGGGAAAAACTATAAAGTTAAAAGACCATCCGTGTAATTTGTTCTTTTTATATTCATCCCTATTTTTTAAATGATTATAACATAATATTTTACCATAAATTCCGTGTAACTATAACTTTACCCATAAAATTTTAGTATTTTTGTATTTTCTAGACACTATTGTTTTTTATAATCATCCATATATATATATATATATATATATATATATATATATATATATATATATATATATTTTGACCATAAACTCCATTGTAACTATGACTTTATGAATAAAATTCTAGTACTTTTATAATTTATAACAATATTCTAGCACGGTTAGTGCCACAATTTTATCGAACAATATTTCAATGTTTTTTTATTGTAAGTTTTGAACAATTTATTAAGTAGCATGTATTGGGAGAACTTCTTTGACAAGTTATGATTTTTTTGTCATATTTTATTAAATAAATTTATGATAAATTTAGTCAAATGGATTTTATTCAAATGGCATAAAAAGGCCAAAACGTTAAACCAAAGTTAGACCCTTAGTAACGATTCGGTTTGTTCAGTTTTAGTTATCAACGTCCAGCTTGAATTTTCGATTAACAAAAACCGTTACGAACAGAGTTTTGGTTTAACCATTATAAGAGTTGTGCAATAAGATTTTGTGTTTAAATAGTCATAAATTTGTCACTACAAAATTGCTTTAATTTCTCATATTCATGTATAGATATACAAAAGAATCCGGTATAGAACAACATTTCAACAAAATAATATACAAAAAATAAAATGAATGAATTAAATCACAAATAAGCACAAACAAGGCCATCATCATCATCATCATCATAATCTCGGTTGTTCTTTAGAGTGTCTGTAGAGATCATAAGGCGACCATAGCTCATCGACCGGACATGGCTCACCGGCGTCCAGTCTCACCCACGGCTTCCCTTTCCCACTCCAGTGCAACAAACTAATCGGACCTGGATGCAAAGACCTGCAACTATGAACCCTATTGTTCCCACCGAGCCCATGTTGGTTCCATCTATGATCAATCGCCGCCGCGTCGCCGCCAAACACCAACAAAAATGGCGGAAGCGAACCCAAATCGTAGATCCGCTCCTCCTTTTGAATCTCCATCCATCTCTCAATTCTACCCCGGTAATCTTCTCGTCTCCACTTCGCCAAATCCATCACCATTACACCTGTGTTGAAGTAACACGGTTTCTTCCCGTCGAACACCCTCGACAGCCGTGAATCGGACCAAAACCGGTCGGTGAAATACTTTGTGAAATTCGCGTGACAGTACACCGGAGCTCCGATTGCCGTCGATCCTAATGAAACCGACCAAAGCTTCTGTATATCGTCAACCACGATGATATCAGAATCGAGATAAATCACTCGGGTCACACTCGAATCGAGTATTTCAGCTAAATAAGTCCTCGCGTAATTCAAAGGATCTTCAAGCGCTTCCCGAACCGAATACGAAATCAGATTCTTAACAACGCGATCATCGAAGCTGTAAACCCTAAAATCGAGAGACGGAAATATCGTTTTAATGATCCGGGATAAGTCATCGGGTTTGGGGGTTTTTGATTCGGATGCAATGAAGTGGAAGTAGAGATTTTCAGGACATGAAGTATGCTTAAGAATCGAATGAACAGCAGCTATGGAACCTCTCAAGTATTCAAAATCGAGAGTCATGGCGACATGAACAACAAAAGGTCCATACGCTGTGGCGGTTGTACCTAACACTCCACAATGATCACCATTTCTATACTCAGGTGCTTCAAGGTATTGTACGTTGTCACTTCCATAAACTCCGATATTCGAAGCATACTCTTTAATGGGTGTTTCTAATTCAGGAATCGATCGTATCGCATTTGTGCAGAGAAAAAACAGAGCAACAATCAACACGAAAACAGCTTGAAATCGAAGCATATCAGCATTCACAGAAGCTTTTCCGATCATTAGCAATGGTCGAATTCAGATGAATTTGTGTCTGAATTTGTGTTGTCTTGAAAAGTTGCTAGAAGATGAAGAAGGTCTGCGTGTATATATTCAGAGTAGGAAGAAACGCGTTTTGTTTTGAACGCGGAAGGGTGTGGAACGAAAATTGTGGAAGAATTGGAGGGGTGATATTGGAAAGATGGAAAAGAAAAGGGAGGAAATTTGGAAATTGGTTTGAATTGAAAATTCAAAGGTGGAAGGTTCGAGGAGTGTGACAACAATTTTGGTCGATTGTATCATTGATTTCCATGTTACCACGTGCCTTGTTCTGTTGTTCACATTGATTGATATTCCATCATCAAAATTAAAATGTTTGAATGTGTATTTTAAGTTTTTGAAAATATTATAAAATGAAATGTTTTTATTAGTTGTTTCTATAATGAATTTCCATCATAAAAAAGTTGTTTTTGAAAGGTTAAATCTACACATATGTAGATTGAAAAAACGTTATAAAGACTCGAATTATATGATGAAGAATACTGATGTGCCAGTCTGGCTTATGCTTGAAAGTTTTTTGAGAGCTGATTTTAAAAAACTTCTAACCTTTTGGTTTTTAATAAAGACTTTAAAAAACTCTACCTGGGAGTACCATAATTTTAGTTTTTAATTTAAATGAAAAGCTTTAAATCTCCATTTAGCTTTTAAGACAAATTTGTTACGTTTTTGAATTAATTTTCAGAATTATCTTTAATAAAATTAACATAATCTTTTTTAATAGTTAATTTATACAATTTTATATATTTTAAGAGTTTCCAATTATTTTTATCAAATATTCACGTAACAAATAAAATACAGTTTATATCTTTTAACTACCGATCAATTGTATCAAACAAACTCGTTGGTGAAAAGCAAATTTGTGCTAATGGCAAAACATCTAAGATACTTTTAATCATGATAAACAAAAAGATTTATAACTCCGATCTATTTCAATATACTGTAGCAAAAAAAAAAAAAAAATTTAAGATACATAGATTTCAACATTTGTTCATAAAATTTTGTTAATATTTAAGAAATCCAAAAAAAAAAAAAATATTTAGCATTTACGATAGTAACAATATTTAAAGATTCTAAAACCTTCTCTTATAACCTTCAGGTTTCATGATTAATGTGGCAACGACCACTAACAACAAACACCATCATGCTGCTTAGTGATTCGTAGTGGTCGTGGTGGATTGTTGTGTATATCCCGGAAGATCACACCCAATGCAATTCTTTTTTTCTTTATCTCTCTCTAACTCTTTCTACCTCTATAATAATAAAAAATTATAGGAGGGATATAATGGTGAGTATTCTATAGGTTTTACGGTGATGATGTGGCGCTCACCACTATAATAGTTAGTGATAGTATTATAGATGGCCTAAATAGTGTTTGCAAATCAAATTTTATGTATAGCTTATAGATTTATATTAGAATAATATTTGGTATAAATAATAATAACCTTATTATTCTACTCATTTAATCTATATAATCTATAGTTGGTAATTGTGAGTTTTATAAAGTTGATACCACCAAAAAACAATGATAAGTGAAGGGGGCTAAGTTTTCTTTCAATATCTTTAGCTAATAAATATGTTTATAGCTATTAATAGAACTATATAAGATGATAATCAATAAAATAAAATTGTTATTAATAGTGTTGGTAACAAGCATTTATTCTCTCATATTCAAATGGGGACTCTTGAATAATAAATATAATAAAACCAGGGTGTTTCCACTTTATATTATATTCATCGACGTCTTTCTATGCATATATATATATATATATATATATATATATATATATATATATATATATATATATATATATATATATATATAAAACGAAATGAAAATTAGAATTCAGTTTTAATAATTAGGTTCATTGCATCTAAGTCAAGTTTACCGTATTTTACCAACTCACATGGTCTGTTATTTACGGTTTCTTGGTTTCAAATTGACTCCTACCAAGATACTTGATTCCTTCACTTTTCAATTTTCATAGTTCACTTTTATAATCATAATTTTACTAATTTTTAACTTTTTTTTTTTAACATCAATAATCAAAATGTTTTTTACAGCTAAATTTACAAAATAGTAAATCACAAATTTGCCCAACTTGTAACTTTTTTGTGGAAACTCTCACTGTCTCACGTAAAATGACTTTAAAAGTTATTTTAAGTTGCAATTGTGAGTAAAAACATGGGGATAATGTCCCACATAAAATGACTTTATTTTAAGTTTCAATTGTGAGTAAAAACATGGGGATAATGTCCGTAATGAAATTCAAACTTAAGGACAACTTGAAATAATTCAAAGTTTTGGATTGAACTTACAATTCGTGTTTTAACACAAGAACAATCTTAAATGATAGTATTACATTCAAACCAATAAATTAATTTCTTATAAAAGATGATGTAACTCATAATTGGAACAA